ACTTCCATGTTCGGTGTTAATATTCTTGTTGGACCGGATCATGTTACGTAAGGTGTCATCGTTGGAGCTATACTTTTGTGGCCACCTATATGTCTAACCCGGGTGTTAAAACTTTGTTATGGCAATCAAATGTTTGCCCAAGTGGGAGAATGTTGGAATAATTGATTATTTCATATATGGGCTTCACATTGGATTGCAAATTTTACGGGTTAGATGTATGGCTCATAATGATATTTGTGTTTGGGCCAAATTTATTAAGTGATCAATTGGGTCTTTTACACCTTATGGGTTGTAATTAATTTGATGTGGTAATTTAAAGTATGTGGGTCGGAAATAAACCCTAATTAGAATTCTAGTCGTAATGGGACGGCTCAAGTTATTTCTTATATATAAAGGCTAGGTCCCCTCTCCTCTCCATATGTTTCATTAGCTTGCCCCATTGATAGCTATTACTTTGTGAGGAGCAAGGAGGGGAAGATCTTGACTACTATTACAACTATAATTCATATCAACAATGACTTCCGCAGGTATGAATTCGTTTCTATTAATTTATTAAATGGTGATTCTTAATTCTTAGCATGATTATAAATAAATATTAACAGTATGTTGTCATCAGGACATAAACGCCATTAAACATTTTATTAAGTTTCATTGTATTTTAAAGACTTTACACTCATTCAACGATGGACAGAAACATCATCACGCATCTTGAAATTTAGTGCAGAATTTTTATTTAAAATGGTTTGCAAGCAATTGTAAAGTTTTTTCATTTTTTAGTCGTGCGCGTGCTTATCATATTCATTTTCGTGTCAATTTTGCATATTCGTTGTGCTTATACGACATTAACAAAGACATGATCCTAACAGACTTTACCTGACTCGTACTAGGTCCACCAAATATTGTCATCCCTATGCTTCTAGTCACCGGCGGATCCAGCACCCAGCGAGCCCCCTCGACCGCGCGTGCTGGATCCGCCGAGAGCCCTTTTTTTTGACTGAGAATAGACAAATATATAGGATATATTAATGGTAAGTCACTTTTCTTTTAGACGTTCCTTGCAGCCGAGTTGGTCAGCCTTTGCATTTGTTTATATTTTACGTCCCGGGTTTGAATCTGTCCACCAACTTATTGTATAAATTTTTAGTTATACAATTTTCACCAAAAGCAATTGAAATAAGGAAAGGGCTAATGGGGAATTGAACCTGTGACCCATTCTAAGATATAATAAAATTTGACCATTATGACACTTGATGAGTTGTGGTACAAAGTTTAACAAAATAATATATGTAAGATTTTAGTGGTTTTAATGCAATTATAAAAATTTTAATACCGTGTTCTTCCTTTGAATTATACAAAGCAATAATGTTATTTGGTGAATATGATTTATTCTTATAACAAAATTATATATGTTCAACTTCAAAATAATTATTTTATTTAAATTTGAAACCTTGTTTGATTCCTATTTAGTTCAGAATACATTTTTCTTTCTCTTATTTTCGATCAAATATTTTTTAATAAAATAATATTACACATAAATTCAAAATTTTTTATTATTTTTAACTACACATTCTCTATTAAATCACTATTTCAAAATGCATTTTTTTTTCTTTCTTTTTTTTTTCTTGCAAAGAATGACATCAAACAAGCCCTTAATATTTTATTACGGCCGCCCGTGCTGGCTCAACATCCTAGATTCCTCCCTGCTTCTAGTAGATGACAATTTTCAAATTCCCCAATCACAGAAAATAAAAATAAAAATAGAAAATGTCCACCAACTTCCATTGATTGGAGGGAAAGAACCCAAAGTGGAGAACCACGAACTTCCACGAAGACTAATACAATAATCACTGAAGAACATGCCAAAGTGGATTATTTTCCAATTCAAAACACACATAAAAATATTTACAATAATAAAAGTGGCGGCGTTGCCCCTTGTCACTTGATCCAAGAAACGAGAATGAAGTGGCAAACCAACTCTCATCTTTCTATAACTCGTATTTCAAATACTTTTGTTAATAGTATTCCATATTATTATAGCATTTATATTTTATATCGTCCATAGTTCAAAGCACTTTTAGCTTAAATAATGGTTGATTTGCGAAAAAAAATAAAAATAAAATAAAATTGAATAGTGGTTGATTTTTGCAAAAAAATAATAATAAAACAGTAGGTATGTTCATAAAATTAATGAAATATATAATATTATGTACTTTAGGTATGTTCTTGATCATCACAGTAGTTTTTCAAGAAAAGCGAAAAGTCATTTTTTGTAGATGAAACGACAAGCCCATTTTCATATTTTTTGTGATACTTTCTACAATTCCATTCTTCCTACAACCAAAAAAAAAAAAAAAAGGCAAAAAATTTGCTTCTTCAATCTGTTCTTCCTTCAAACTATGTGATTGGAATCGCCGATTGGGTGAATTGAATTTGTCGGTTGGGTGAATTGAAGGAATGTTTGGAAGGGTTTGCGCTACAAGATATAGGTTTGTTGTCGGCTTTTGGGTTACTAAGTTTTAATTTTCTTTTGTTTTGGGCTCGGACTATTACGACATACAAAATGCACGCCATAAAAAATAAATCATTTACGGCACGCTTGAACATTACGCCATAATTATTGACTATTTACGGCGTGCCATAAATACTTTAAGTAATTGATTTATTACGGCACACATTTATGGAATGCCGTAAAAAGAGACTTTTCACAACGCACTTGAAATGCACGCCATAAATGAATGCCGTAAAAAACCACCTTTGTTGTATTGTCAGACTTTGTTTTGAGACACGTAGTTGATGATCGTAATTTCATGACCTATGAGATAGAGCCCTATTTTTGATTTTTTCTACGTTAAACAAATTAAGAATTTTATCTATGTACGATGATGATTGAGAAATAAATAGGCTTTTATATAGCTCTATACATACTGATTCTCAAAATATAGGCTGCTTTAGATCTTCTAATCATGATATGTTGATATGGCAAAGAGAGAATCCTGATCAAATGAAGCATGGTCATATGTGAAAAGGTGTACAATAAATCTTTAGTCGAGTACTTTAGAGAGACCTATGGGTGAGTTAATAACCCAAATGGTCATTGAACTTTGCAAAAAACTTTTATTGGATCACTAAATTTTAAAAATCATTAAGGTCATTACTGAACTTTGTAAAAGGTTTTCACAGGATCACTGAACTTTAAAAACTATCTCATTCATCATTGAACTTTGCAAAAAGTTTTCTCAGTGACCCCTGTGAAAGGTTTTATAAAGTTCAGTAACCCGTGGAAATCTTTTCCAAAATTTAGTGAGGAATGGAGTGATTTTTAAAGTTCATTGACCTTGTGTAAACCTTTTGCAAAGTTCAATGATGATTTGGGTTATTCTTAAAGTTCAATGGCCCGATGAAAACTTTTTGCAAAGTTCAGTAACCATTTGGATTATTAACCCCCTATGGGTTTAATTGTCATTCAACATACTCACTAGCCTTGTCTACATGCTGGAAATCAGCCAAAAGGCAAATTATTTACCGATGGAGATCAAGCTACTTTCCCTTTTAATTGTTATTAGCAGTATATCTTTAAATTAGGGTACTGAAATATAGTTAACTTCCAGGTCTGGAAGATTGTAGAGGGACAAAAGTATTATAAGGAGGTTGAATGAGAGATACATTCGTGCACTTTTGAAGATGATTCTAATTTGATGTTAGACGGAATATAATTAGATTTCTCTATTTAATAGATACACTAGTATATTCTACACAATATTAATGTATGTTTTGGGATTTATTGTTGGCATAGTTATTGTTGTTCATATTTTTAGTCAAAATGATAATGGAGAAAAAAATGGTATCAAATAAAAAAATTGATATTACGAAAAGAATGATATAAATACTAAAACCATGACGATAACAAAATGCTATGTAAAGTTTTTTATGGAACTTTATAATAGCATTCAAAAAATGTTATCATAGATGAACGAATTTTAATAACACCATCTACAATAACGTTTCGAAAAAATGCTATAAAACATGAAGCAGCTATAGATGAGTTGAAATATTATAGTGTAGGCATAAAGTGGTGTAATGCAATCTATTTCTATTATTAATCGATAAATAGATTGAGGATTTTATTAATTATAGATACATAAATGAACAACGAGTTTATTATTCTCCTTCGACATCCTCCAATCAAATTTCATTCTTCTCATAAACTTTCATCCTTTTCTCTTTGTAATTCACAATATTGCAGAATCGAATCACGAAGACTTTCATATAAATTTATATCTCATCTTTGATGTTTGGTTTGTTGTCATTAGAACATAAACGCCATTAAACATTTTATTATTTTAAGGACTTTACACTCATTCAACGATGGACAAAAACATCATCACGCATCTTGAAATTTAGTGCAGAATTTTTTTTTCAAGCCACTGCAACGAATATCTTCACCAACATTTAAAATGGTTTGCAAGCGATTGTAAAGTCTTTTCATTTTTCAGTTGGGGGCGTGCTCATCATATTCATTTTGTGTCAATTATAGGACATTTAACAAAGACAACACTATGATCCTAACAGAGTTTACCTGGCTCATACTAGGTCAACCAAGTATTCTTATTCTATGCTTCTAGTGGATGACAATTTCCAAATTCCCCAATCATTTAAAAAAAATAAAAATAAAAAATGTCCATCAAGTTCCATTGATTGGAGGGAAAGACCATAATGTGGAGAACCACGAACTTCAATCTTGGAATTTCACCACAAATATGTGAGCTCCAATCAGGTCTCACAAGCCAAAAGCCATGCCACGACCTCATACCACTACCCCTATGTGATTGGAGTAGCAAATTAGATAGGCTTCCGGGATTTGTTTTCGATTCGCCAGGTTAACTATACTAGGTATTACACCCCCAATAAACCACGAAGACTAATACAATAAACACTGAAGAACATGCCAAAGTGGATTATTTTCCAATTCAAAACACACAAAAAAATATTTACAATAATAAAAGACAGAAAAAAAAATTAATTCTCTTTTGTGTAAAAAGATAAACATGATTCAAGTGGGAAAATTGAAAAAGAAGAGAAAAATAATTCACAATAAATTAAACATTGGAAACATCAATCTTCACCATATATAGTTTCTTAGCCATGTTGTCGAGGGGACTTGTCTCTTGATCCGTTTAGGACACTCCTTGGGGAAGACAATCCTTCACTTGTAACAATCTTTTTCTCGCTCACTTTTTTGACATATTCTTTTTTCTTCTTTGGCTTGCTTGAATCTAAGCTCTCCCCTTTGATTGTAGGTATTAAATACCACCCAATAGACGTACACAATATGGCAAAAGATCGTCCAAAAATAGCCAATAGCATAAGAGCAATCATTATAACCACCGGAAAATAGTAACAAGGTTGCCTAAACTTTTCCAACTTAAACCTACCACATATCGAGCAAAACCTCATATTCCTTCGGTCGGATTTTTCGTCCTTCGCTTGTTGAACTTCATTCGCGACTACCAAATCTTTAGACGTCTCGACTGGAGACTTCTCAGACACTTCAGGAATATTGTTCGTAGTTACGTGAGCATTTGCTTTGTGTTCTTGTGCTTTTTTCTCCTTCACTTTAACGATGATGGGCTTAACGTGATTGGAATTCGAGAAAACAAAACGAACGAGAGAAACGTCTTCGAAGCCCATCTGTGTGTAAATTTTCTGTCTTTTCTCATCAAGATCTGCTAAAAGTGCATAGAATTTCTCTAGACCCCTATTGGCATAAGGGTTCTTGCTGTTTTTTCTTCTGCTGCCAAAGCTGGTGCTCCTTTTTGATATTTTTGGAGCAGAATAATTACATGACCACAAAAGTTCATCATCTTCTTGAATGTTAAAGCCTCCACAGGTGAATGGACTGCACATTTGAACAAGGATTTGGTCGATAAAAGGTTATTGTTTTCTTGTTTTTGGTCGAGGATAATAAGGTTTGTTTGTCTGACGATCGGTGTTAAGGGAGACTTTCAAATAGATTGAATCAAGAAAAATAGTGAGACACATAAGAAATATTTAAATAGTTTTGTGGAAGAATTGATCAAATAGGCGATTAGTCAAAGAATTTGAAAGTCGAACATATATAATTCCATGGAAGCTTCTATTTTATTTTTTATTTTTTATTTTTGTTGATATTTAGATTTTGGTTTCCTTTGACTTCTTGCAGAAGGGTTAATGAATATCCACACCTTGATTGAATGCACATGAAGGGCTTTTTCGGTATTTTGCAAATAGCAAATATACCTCGCTCAACTTTGAATGATGCGTGATTGAAGAACAGAAATATATAAAATATTTATTTATTGTTCTATTTAATATTTTTTAGTCCGACTCACTAAAAATAGTCTCCATGTAGTGTATATTTTATGTATGGGAAAATTTCATAAGTAAGATCAATTATGGCACATTTCAAAAACAAGAGAATAAGTTTTAAATTTCAAAAGTCAGATTTTTATTAAAAATTATTTATAATTAATTAATTATTTTAGTAATTAAATATATTTAAGTCACAGATTTATATAATTTGATCACAAATTAACGATTTAATTCGTCACTTATTATTTTTTGGTCACAAATCAGAAATTTTATGTCATAATTTATTTTACTATCACAGTTCAAAAATTTTATAGGTCACAGTTTGCTCATTGGTCACAAATCGAAAAATTTATAAGTCACGATTTATTTATTAGTCACAAATGACAAATATTACAAGTCACAGCTTATTATGCAATCACAAATTATCAAATTATCGATCACAGATTAACAATTTTTTAGATCACACATTATTTTTCGATCACAATTTATTTTTTTCATTGGTCACATATTATTTTTCGGTCACAATATATCTTTTTCATTTGTCACATATTATTTATTGGTCAAAGACCAACCAATTTAATAGTCATAGTCAACCAAATAATTTGAGACCACCACCAATACTTACGATTTACAGTCACAATTTTCAGATCACATATCCAACTGTGAGTCACAGTCACAATTTTCAGGTCATGTATCCAATTGTGAGTTATGAATCAACCAAACCGCCACGACCATCACCATGACCACCAAAATTGCTACGATCAACTGTGACTCCCAAATTATGAGTTACAATTGGGAGTCATAATCACAATTTTTAGGTCACGAGTCCAATTATTTGTCACAAAATCAACCAAACCGTCATGACCACCACAACCACCACAATCCACCACCACCACAACCACAACCACTATCACAAACCAATGCAAAACCACTACAAAACTGTCACCGGCTCCACTGTCGTCGCCACCAAAGACACCAACAGTAGCATTGCAAACTACCGGAGTCACCATCACGCCGCCAATACGGTGGCACCTTACACAACGGTCAACACGGCAACCACTCCCACAGCCCATGACACTGCACAACTACAACACACAGCACCGCTGTCGCATTGTCTCTCAAGGAAGAACACGCATCAAACCCACCACATCGTGTGACGGCAAAACATCAGATCTTGCAATGATCTCATTGGCGGCGATTTTCGATAGTAGCTCCCAACGATGGCGAGTTCGCAATAGCCTCCCAGCGATGGCGAGTTCACAATAGCCTTAGCGTTGCCGTTTGAGGCAGCTATGAATGACAGAGGCTACAGCGAAGTCATCACGAAGGCATCATAGTGCCGCTCGCGGAGGTCCTCCGGTAGCACCTTCTTGTCTTCCAGCGAGATTGGGGAGAAATTATTGGTAGAGAGGGAGAGAGAGTCGAGGGAATTGAGAGAGAGAGATGGAATTGAGATTGATATAATAAGGGTTTGAAATTTCTTAATTAATTTTTAAATATATAAATTAATTAAAAAAATTTGATTTGTGAAATATTAAACATTGCACCTTATTTATGAAATGAGGATTTTTAATCTATTAGAATATGTAATTTTCACTTTATGTATTGTAATCCAGAGATGGCAATGGGCTGAACCGGCTTAAATACACGAGCTTGGCTCATGCTCAAGGGGTGAGCTTGGCTCGGCCCATGAGCTTGTGGGCCAAGCCGAGTCCACAAGCTCAATAATTTTATTTATTTATTTATTTTTTTTTGAAAATTTTCAAACTTTTCTTCACAGTTTTTACGAGCCCACGAGCCGAGCTCCTTTGGTTCGTGGGCTCGGCTCACGACCTTTGCTCGGTTCGTTGGTTCCCACCGCTGCTAGGCTTGTACTCGGGCTTGTCAAAATGATGAGCCCACGCTGCCCACGAGCCGACGTGCCGCTCGACCCGTTTGAAATCCCTATTGTAATAATCAAATTGAATATTATTAAAAAAGATAAATATAGATATTTTAATACATTGCACTACTATTCAGTGGAATGTATTAAACCTCTATTTATTTTTATTAAAATATTTGATAAAAATATAATTTAAATTTAACAATTAAATTAGCTCCCACACATATACCTATCTCTTTTATATTCATTTATTACCTATATGTGTGCATGACAATTCCATTTATTTTGTATGAATGTTACCGCATTTATGCATGGAGATGGTGCATCATTCACGTGTTTTTAAGAAATAAGTGTAATCGAAGCATCGAGTTTTCAACCTATGTGTGTCATAGCAATGAGGCTCGCAACCTTGTTTTTTAACGTTTTCATCTTCAACATTTCTTATTGGTATACACATGACAGGTAATTATTTGATACATTAATGTGGTAGTTTTTTTATTCATTAATGCATCAAATAATCACTTACCATGTGTATGCCACGTAGGACGACTGCTGTAGTGAGCGACTGCAAATAGTATTATTCCAAAAAAAATTGTTGAAGGAAAATTTATTTTTATTTTGAAATTATCAAATAACAGATGTCAAACTTTGATGTACACCAAACATGATTGTGTAAATATTATTCTATCAAATTTTGATATTTTATTAGTCAAATGGACGAGAATCGTCCACTAAGGATGAAAGTTCCAAACTCCAATATACCAAAAAAATTTGGAGAGAGAAGAAATTCGTCTTTCTTCCATTATTGTAAGCAAACAAAGATGGAGGAAGAGGTTTGAGGGTACGTGAGAACTTATTGTCTTTATTAACGGGATTATTTTTTAACAAGATTAATAAATTGGAAATATTGTATGTTTGCTCTAGTAGTCTATAATAGTTTAGTTCTGATAGTTAATAATCAATTTTCATTTTACAATATAATCAATTAAACTAGATTTGTAAATATATATTTTCAAAATTATGCTCTTGTTTGAGTCCTGTTATTTGGTAAAAATAGAATTTAAAATAGTGAATTTTTGGAAAATGTGTTGTTGAAAAGCATAAAAAAGTTTTAAATTCACGTGTAATGTTATTTTATTAAGAGAATATATAGTTGAAAATAAATTTGAAGAAAAATGTATTATTGGAAAATGGAACTCAAAGAAGGGTATACTATTTTTATATTTGTTTGGAAAAGGGGGTTGTTGCACTTTTAAAGGAGTGGCTTTTTATTCTACATTGTGGTTGTTAAGTTTGAAACTCTGTGTTTCCATGGTTTGTTAAAAAATGAACAATAATGGAGGTATTAGATTGTGTTGCACACACGCAATGTTTTGAAAATGTAATGCTTTTAATATTGAAATCTTGGTTTGTCTTTCTTTACAGACTCTATTAAAATTGACAAGTGAAAATGAAATAGGAACATAACTCTAGATGGATAGATGTTGTGTTTCACGGAACTTGTATAATTTAATGAATATACTGCTATAAATCTTGGCCTGCCTCACTATTTCGTATATGTTTGGGCTTATTAAATTTGTTGACACTATCCGGCCTAGTTGAAAAACACGTTTTTTGGGTTACACGCTTTTGCCTCATCTAAGGGTTGTGATCAGATGTACACGTGGCCCATTTACAAGCCTTGATTTGCAACGTTTCATCTGGATATTTTTATACACTTGGTTGATTCTTTTGGCTGATGCTCTCCATTCAGTTCTTCTCTCTCGAATGTTCTTTCTCTATGTGAATTAGGTTGATAGTAAAGGTTGTTTAGTACAATCTATTAGAGATTTTGGATTACTGATTTGTAAAAGTAGAGAGGCTAGAACGATCTTGAAGAAATCTTCATACACTTGTACAATTTCTTGGTTGATATTAGTGGATCTAAAACTATATCGCTTCGATCGATGCTCAACGGGTGAGTAAGTCATTTTGACTGAACATCCGGACCCTTTAAGGATGAAAAATAATTTGCATCTTTATATTTTCTGCAATCTTGTGTTTTTAACAATACAAGATCTAATTGGTGAATAAATAAATGATTTGTTCCATAAATTTAATGATTCAAATTGATATGTTATATCATCGATGCTTAAAATATGCTAAGAATCAATGCTCATAAGATCATTTATATATATGAAAATTCAAGAATACAAATAAGATACGGATTATTTCTTAGGCCGGCCTTAAATATTTTAGAATTTTATGCGTACAAGTCTTTTTAATTTGAAGTATTTAATATATTCAAAATTTCTCAAACAACTCTTTTTTCGATGGCTTATAATTATGCTGTTTCAAGCCATCATGTTGTTAATATTTTTAATGGTGGTTACATTTGAATGCATTAAATAAAAAGGAAAGTTTATAATTTAAAATAATTTAAAGAATTTTCTGCACACATTAGATTTGAGAATTTGACAAATTTAAATTTCCATCCCCTGCATTACAATTGACAAATTCAAATTTAGGAATTACCCAACTGTACAACATTAAGAACCTATTATTTATATGCGTAAAATATTTGAGCAAATCTTGGATAGCTAAATGCCAATCAATGTTTATATATAGTCAGCTTATCCTAAATTTATTGACAAAAATGTTTAGGTCATTGTAATATTGTATTGTTTTATTTAATAGCAAAATTAAACTTGATGACGTGATAACATAGAATGAAAATGTTAAATATTTGTTTTCACCTATCCTTATTTTTGAAAATAATAAAATTGAGGTATAGTGATATCTAAAAGTAGTTTTTACTAATTTGTTAGC